AATGTTTCTGCATTGCACTGTACAACCGTTTTAAAAATGCGTGCTAGTTGTTCACGACTCTGGAGAGTTGTGCTCATCTCCGTTTCAAAGCCAGCACTGTCTAAAGACATCTCCATGGTTTTGTGGCCGGCATGACTAAACGCCGAAGGTGCACAGAACACTGTTATTTTCCACCCTATTTTTCTACTTGCATTTTTTACGTGCTTTCAAACTGCTAGGTTGGCAGAAGCTGGGATAAGTAACGGGAGCTCACCCTGGTACGTGGCACTAGAGATTCAAACCGCTGAACTGCCGACCTTTCTGGTCGACAAGCTCAGCATCTTAGCCACTGAGCCACCGCGTCCCACAGAAATCTGCAGTAGTCTGTAGTAAATACAGAATCTTGGAAAACTGTAAGGGGAATTTCCCTCTATTTATAATAAATTAATTAAGGCAAGTTCTCTTTGACTGATTTAAAATGCTTCGTCCTAAATTTTTCTCCACCAGGACTCAATTGCTGTTTATGAGATGAGCCTTGATGTAGCATCTACTTAAAGAAAATGCATCTTTCCACAAGCTCACTCATCTGACTGCTGCTACTTCGTGAACCCAGAAAAGATGTGCTTCACTTAATACAGATAGCAGGTTCTTGACTTAACACCTGTTTGTTTAGTGATGGCTGAAATTTAAAATGGCAATTGAAAAAAGTGACCTCTGACCCTTTTTCACACTTACAACCACTGCAACAACTCAAACCAAAAATCAGATGCTTGGCAACTGACTCATATGTATGACAGGGCATGTGATCATTTTTTGCAACCTTTTGACAAGCCCAGTCAATGGGAAAGTCAGATTCACTTAGCCAACGTGTTATTTACTTAACTGCAGTGATTCACTTAACACTTGTGGCAAGAAAGGTTGTAAAATGGGGCAAAAGACACTTAACTGCCTCACTTAGCATTGTGCTCAATTGTAATCGTAAGTTGAGGACCACCTGTAATGTGCTGACAAGTTCTCTGAGTGCATTCACATGCATTCCAAAACATCATTTAGATTAATGATGAATGAAACGATGTGAATCTAGATTGCAATGCAGCATTAGCCCAAACATATATTGGCGTATGTGTCCCCTGTCTTTTAAGAAGGATTCTGAAAAATCGGAACAACGGCAGAATAATCAGCAACTTAAAAACTAAGTCATATGAAAAGAATTTAAAAAGAGCTACCATGTTTCCCCAAAAATAAGACAAGGTCTTATTTTCTTTTGACCCCTGAAATAAGCGCTTGGCCTTATTTTCAGGGATGTCTTATTATTTTTGAGGTGCAGAAGGTGGCGAGCGCGGTCACCTCATGGCTGCTGCTGTGTTGCAATGTTATCGGGGAGGGCTTGTTTTCAGGGGAGGGCTTATTTTAGCACATGCGCTCAAAAGCCCGATCGGGCTTAATATCCAGGGAGGTCTTATTTTCAGGGAAACAGGGTAGACATATTACAACTTTGAGGAAACGTATATGCGAAACCAAAAAAAACCTGTCATTCATAAGGAGATCAAGAAGCATTCTTTATTACCAAGGATGTGGAATTAATGATTTAGATTACAGGAAAGCAGATTCCAATGGAAGTTTAAGAAAAATTGTGAAAGCTGTGCAATACTGAGAGGCTGTTCAGTTGTACTTCAGTGGATTGATCTGTCTGTCTGTCTGTCTGTCTGTCTATCATCTCTCTCCCTCTCTCTCTCCCTCCCTCCCTCTCCCTCCCTCTCTCTCCCTCCCTCTCCCTCTCTTTCTATCCCTCCCTTTCCCTGTCCCTCTCTCTCCCTGTCCCTCCCTCTCTCTCTCTATCCCTCCCCCCCCTTTTAGCTGAAACTAAAAGCAAACTCACCAATAACAAATCACCACAACCATTACACAGATTCAGCCACACCTTCAGAATCGCAGACCCAGTGACAAAATCATGTCTCAAAGGTCTTATGAAAGGCTGACAGGGTCAGGGCCAGCCTAATATATGGGAGAATAATATTCTCCAAGCATGCCTTCAAGCATAGACAGGGCATCTATCAGCTACAATACTTTAATTTATATTTCATGGTCCAAGTGACCTCTGGCAGTTCTGTGATTCCAAGAAAGGGACAATAAATGGTCTTTCCTTCATGTCTCATTTTTTTGTTTATATAATAATTTACTTATTTGGCCTACAGTATTTTTTGAGATTTCTTTTGGAAATAGGGACGTGTATTGTATAAAATGCCTTTTAAATTCATAACATCTTTTCCCTTGTTTTCATATTTAATGGCATATAGAGGTAGTACTTACTTAGTGACTGCTTCCTTTAGTGACTGTTGACAAGTAGGACAATCAATTCTCGCATTTATGAGTTTTGCAGGTCTATAAAGGAAAGGAAAGCATAAATGCATTGTGGTTTCACTTACTGACCACTTTGCTCAAAGGCCTGTGGTTATTAAATGACAATTACTGTAATTTGCAGCTGGGTTCCTTTTCCCTGAATTATCTGTTGCTTTCTCTTACACTTGTAATCTGGAGTATATTGTTTTGACCAGTGATGATCTATTAAAAGACATTCAACAGTTGTAGTCCTTTGGAGGTAGGGTACCTAGAGCCTGACATGCTATAGCTCCATGATGGCAAACCTATGGCACATGTGCCCAAATTGGCATGCAAAGCTATGTCGCCTGGCACTCATGGCATTGCCCATTCCTCTTTCGAACAGCTGATTGGCCATGTGCATGCACGGCAGTAACCGGAAGACTGGCTGGTTGGTGTGCATGCACGCGGTGGAAACTGAAAGTTCATTTTCCAGTGCCCCCTGTTTTGAAGATCGGCGGAAGGACGAGGCAGGAGCCAAGACTGCAGAATGAAGAACTTCTTTTATTCACAGGTCACATCATAAGTCGAGGACTTTCTGAGTCCTCAACACCCTGGGCAGCTCCTCTTCCTTGCCACGGCTCAGACATGTGCATGCAAAGTGCTCCCTTTTTGGCACTCAGTGCTGCACATGCACGCTACCTTTCCGGTGCTGAAAAGGTTTGCATCACTGTTATCGGTAATCAATTGAGCACAAAATTTATGTTGCTAAGTGAGACAGTTGTTAAGTGAGTTGGGATTGTCCATTTTACCATCTTTCTTGCCACTGCTGTTAAATGAATCACTACAGTTATTAAGTTAGTAACACAATTGTTAAGTGAATCGGAGTGCTCCATCACTGGAGGTTTTTAAGAAGAGATTGGACAGCCAATGATATAGAGTCTCTTGATTGAGCAGGGGTTGGATTAGAAAAGCTCCAAGGTCCCTTCCAGCTCTGGTATTCTCCTTCCTACAATGGTTTCCCTCTATTTGCCTCATCTGTAGTGGGGACATTAGAACAAGAGGGACATAATTAGACATATATTTTTTTTTTTGCATTCCTTCCATTCCAATGATTTTGATGCATATAAAGGGCTATTAGTTTGAGAACCCAACTCTAGAGTATCTTTTTAATATCTCTGCGTTTTTTTTTAGTTCCTAAACAACAAATTATGCACACAATTTAATGCCTTAAAGTAGTTGTGCAAAAAAATACATCATCTGACTTGTGCTTATTATTGGGCAATTTGAAAAAAAATGAATTAATACAGTAATGCACTTACACATTGAGGGATTGACATCCAGAGACATCCTCAGAATTAACAATTAAGTCTCTCCCTCTGGAGATGCTGTTTTATAATTGCAAATCTTGTTACATCAAATTCTGTTTCCACCATGCAGTTCAAAAAGCGAGACAGGGATGGAGTAGAATAGAATAGAATAGAATAGAATAGAATAGAATAGAATAGAACAGAACAGAACAGAACAGAACAGAACAGAATAGAATAGAATAACAGAGTTGGATTGGACTGTGGAGGTCTTCTAGCCGAACCCCCTGCCTAGGCAGGAAACCCTACACCACTTCAGATAAATAGTTATCCAATCTCCTCTTAATAACTTCCAGTGTTGGAGCATTTACAATTTCTAGAGGCAAGTTGTTCCACTGATTAATTGTTCTGTCAGGAAATTTCTCCTTAGTTCTAGATTGCTTTTCTCCTTGATTGGTTTCCACCTATTGCTTCTTGTTCTGCCCTCAGGTGCCTTGGAAAATAGCTTGACTCCCTCTTCTTTATGGCAACTCCTCAGATATTGGAACACTGCTATATGTCTCCCCTAGTCCTTCTTTTCATTAAACTAGACATACCCACTTCCTGCAACCGTTCTTCATACCCTAATCATCTTTGTTGCTCTTCTCTGCACTCTTTCTAGAGTCTCCACATCTTTTCTACATCGTGGCGACCAAAACTGAATGCAGTATTCCAAGTGTGGTCTTACTAAGGCATTGTAAAGTGGTATTAACGCTTCATGTGATCTTGAGTCTATCCCTCTGTTTATGCAGCCTAGATCTGGATTGGCTTTTTTGGCAGCTGCTGCACATTGCTGGCTCATTTTTAAATGGTTGTCCACTAGAACTCCAAGACTCCTCTCACACAGTTACTACTATTAAGCAAGGTACCACATATACTATACCTGTGCATTTTGTTTTTCTTGCCTTAATGTAGAACCTTACTTTGGCAGCTGCTGCACATTGCTGGCTCATATTTAAATGGTTGTCCACTAGGACTCCAATACCCCTCTTGCAGTTTCTACTATTGAGCAAGGAACCACATATATTGTACCTGTGCATTTTGTTCTTGGATAAGACAGTTCCTTATTTACAGCTACCAAATCTAAAGGTCTAAAATGAAGTGGAAATATCTGCATATTAAGTTGCATAATGTTTTTTTAGTTTTTTGATTCCAACTAACTCAACCTATCATATGGGTTGGGCTTTATTATTTCTTTCATTCTGTCAGCTGTAATTTTTGTTTTTCAGTTAAACAAAGCTGTTTTATTCCAACAGTGTAGCAAATAGTAGAAACACACCTCCTCGGTGGCAACTGTAAGCTGGGTAGAATGACCAAAATATTAGGGCAAGAACAGGCAAAAACAAAGCAAATAGAACTATAAATTTGGGTACCGATGACATCCCAAAATACCGTACTATGAAAATGCTCCCAAATACAGGTAATCCTCAACTTACAACAGTCCATTTATTGACCATTCAATGTTACAACGGCACTGAAAAAAGTGACATAACTGTTTTTCACACTTATGACTATTGCAGCATGATCAAAATTCTGACATCTGGCAACTGATTCATGTTTAGGACTATTGCAGTGTCTCAGAGTCATGTGATCACCTTTTGTGACCTTCTATCAAGCAAAGTCTATGGGGAAGTCAGATTCACTTAACAACTAAGTTACCAACTGAACAGCTGCAGTGATTCACTTAACATCTGTGACAAGAAAAGTTGTAAAATGGAGCAAAATTCACTTAACAAATATCTCACTTAGCAACAGAAATTTTGGGCTCAATGGTGGTCGTAACTCAAGTCCCCAGTAATTTTTAAAACATTTGAACGCTCTTTGCTCTTTTCAGTTTCTTTCTGCTGTGGCCATGCACATTTCTCTTTAGAATGAATTCTTTTATGAGAAATGGATTATTCAGCAAATAGACATGAAGGTTTTTGCATTACTCCCTGTTCTTGCTACATTTCATTGCTTCTCCCACCTCACTTCTCTCTTTCTCATCTACCAATCATACCTAGCAACCATATACAGTGTAATTTTTTGAAGATTCTGCTTCAGGATTTTTATAAAGGGCTACTTACAAGTGTAGCTGAGAAAGAAAAGAGAAGAGAAGGAAAATAAGCAACTGGAAGAAATCACTTCACTATCCTTCCTTTTCAATGCCTTGCATCATATATGGGTTTTCTAGAAGGGTCTGTGTGTTGAGGGCGGAGAAAGAGAATTAGTTTGTAGAGATTCAATTAAAATAACCAGTATATTCAGTTATTTAGTGTAAGCATTTGATTTAATTTCTGTGAGCCCGAGCAGTCGCTTTTTAAAAACTGATTTTTATTTTTGTGTGACAGTAAACTGTTAACAGAAATCAGTTCTAATGCATAAAATCATTGCCATCTCTGCCATTTTTTTCAGGTTTTGTGTTTCACACTAAGCCATAACAAGGTTTGCTAGGCAAGGCTGAGTAGTTTATGCTTCACCATAACGTAAAGCTGCCTTTGCATTGGCTTTGTGGTTTGTTTGAGTATAATGAGTTTTGTCAGTGCAACAGGTGTGATTTGTAAACCTTCATTAAGGGTTGAGGATTTGTTTATTTATGTGATTTCTCTGCCACCTGAAACCTAAAGGGGTCTGGGCAGCTTACAAAACTTGTAATGCAAAAATACAATATAAATGTCAGAATTATGATTACTTAAAATAATAACATAGAAAACACATCTTTTTCCCAAACAGATGCTAAAAATAAGCTGAAATATTTGATATGGCACCCAAGACCCAAAGTGTTTTCATCTGTTTACAGAAGACCATGAGAGTGTCAGGGCCATTTGTCAGGTAAACCAGAAAAAAGACATGGCTAGATGGACTAATTCTTCTTTATTATAAGATTACATTAACACAGTGTTTCTCAACCTTAGCGACTTTAAGTCCTATGGACTTCAACTCCCAGAATTCCCCAGCCAGCTCTGCTGGCTGGGGGGTTCTGGGAGTTGAAGTCCACAGGACTTAAAGTCGCCAAGGTTGAGAAACACTGCGTTAATTTAATCTTGCTAATATGAAAGCATAAACTTCTTGTAACTGCTTGATCCATTAGGCTGGGCTCTTCCTCAGATTTTTTTTTTCTCTGAATGTTAAACCACTGGGAGCTTCCGCCTCTCTTGCCTAATCATTTTCTAGGCAGCATCTCCTCCTTGTGTTCCTAAGGTCATCCACACATTCCACTCCACATGCTTCTCTCAGGAGACAAGCTGTTCCCAAGGAGAGGAGCCACCCACTGATTGCCTACAATTACAGGTCCCTTTCATTCAAGATGACTTGAAGGCCTTCACATTCACTCATATTACAAACAATTTAAATCTACTTAACAAAACACATTTAAATAACCTACAGTGTGCTGTTATGTGGAAACCGTGATTTTGAAGCCCTCCAACTTGACAGATAGCTGAGATTAGATGGAATTTAAAAACCCGAGGCCAACATGGTCCTTTCTGGTAGACCTTTATTTTAATACCTGTCAGGAGGATGTAGGAATGAGATTTGGATGTACTTAAGGAATTGTCTGAGGCAGCTTTCTCAGTCTTGGCAACTTTAACTCTCAGAATTGAAGTCCAATGCCAGATGGGGAATTCTGGATTTGAAATCCACACAACTTAAAGTTGCCCAGGCTGAGAAACATTGATCTAAGAATTCAAAGACTGGGATGGCCTGAAGAAGCTAACATTAAACTTTAATAAAGGCCAATTAATTCACCAGCTACTAATGGACAATGAACAAGATACAGTACCACAAAAATAAAATCTTGGATAATTTGAGGAAAGGGTACTTAAATACATTAGAGGTACAATGCTTTTCATTCTATTTTCTCTTTCTAATCTCGTACAAACTTGTGTTATGTGTTTGTTCATCTTACTTCAGCCAGCCTGAATGCTGAAAGACAACACCATAAACAGATTTGGTTCTTCACCAAATTGACCAATAAATGTGTTTTAAAGATGGTATTCAAATTGTGTCACATTCTCTGGAGTAATAAAAAAATATCTCCCCACCACTCCAAACAAAACAGAATAAGTAGTTCTTCCCATTCCCCATAATTTCATATTTTCAGTTCGAGTGTGTATTCATCTAGCTATCTGCAAAGAAGTAAGGACCCTTATTATGTTAGGGAAGCAATCCAGTTTTGAAGGCAGCAGCTCAGTTGAGAATTGGCACTATAGGGCATTGTTTGCCAAGGCAACTAGATACACAGAGGTAGTTTCTTCCCTTGTGCCATCACTCTGCTGAACTCCTAATTCTCACAGCTGACAAAATACAATGACTATTACTTTGTTTTTTGTTTAGTGTCTGTGGGTATATTAACCCACAGATAATATTACGCATAAGGTGTGGCTGCAGTAATTTTTTCCTTTTATTATTTTACTTCTCCCTTTTAATAGCTGTACACTTATTATTGTTTACTTTATTCATTAAACATGAAACTCAGTCAACTGAATGTTCAAAAATCCATCACAAATACCATTGACTGATGCTAATGGTTGATACGGTTTTGCTGCCAGCATCCTAGGTATCAACCAAGTACCTTCTTAAAATATACAATGTTCCGAGCAGCGCTGTTTTTTTGCAGTTCTGCTGGTGTTATTGCAGAAAGCTGCAATTTGTTGATGTATATTATAAAATTCTTGGACATGGTATCAAGTACCCGATGACAATGGGTATCACTGTTATATGTTTCACCCATAGCCGTGTAGTTTCGATGGCCGGGTCATGATATTTCGGGATTTTTTCTAGTTCTTTTTCTTTGACTCTGGCATCTCCTGGTACAGTGATATTAATAAATTTTATGCTTTGTCCCTCTACAACCGTGATATCTGGTGTGGGCATTGTTTGCCAAGGCAACTAGATACACAGAGGTAGTTTCTTCCCTCATGCCATCACTCTTCTGAGCATCTAATTCTCACAGCTGACAAAATACAGTGACTACTACTATGTTTTTTTTGTCTAGTCGGTATATTAACCCGCAGATAATATTATGCATAGGGTGTGGCTGCAGTATTTATTCCTTTTATTATTCTTTCTTCTCCTTTTTAATAGCTGTGCACTTATTGTTGTTGTGGTTGTATTTTGTTGTTTTGCAAGTACACTGAATGCTTCTCTACAGGAGACAAATTCCTTGTGCATCTAACCATATATAGCCAAATAAATAAAGTAAGTAAATAAGTTCTGATTTTATTGAAAAGTCTCTGCTAACTGTAAAACAGATAGTTCTCAATTTACAACCATTCATTTGGTTACAACTGTGCAGAAAAAAAGTAATTTAGGGAATAGCCCTCACATTTATGACCATCACTGTGTCCCTGTGGTCACATGTTCAAAATTTGGGGCCTTTGCAATCAGCATGAATGTATGAGGATTACAGGGTCACATAATCACCATTTCTGACCTTCCCAGCTGGCTTCTGACAAGCAAAGTCAATGGGGGAAGCCAGATTCACTTAATGACCATGTGCATCACTATCAATTACTGTGATTTTAGTACTGCCGTTAAGTCATTTACTTCATGTGTCAGAGTTCTAAGTAACACCTCCAATGGGGGTGTTACTTGGAACCCTGACTTCATGACTATGGCAAAAAGGTCATACAATAAGGCATGACTCACCTATTTATATCGTGTGGTAGCAATTGTGGTCGTAACTTGAAAGTCATCTGTACTGAAAGTGTAACATTTTGGCATTTTGTAACCTGGAAATTTTCACAATAGCTTAAACATGAATGAGCCCTCAGCCCTCAAAAAGTACAGTGGGGAGAGGTGGTTTGCCTCAAACCAAACTGGATGATCAAAGAGTATTTCTGGATTGATCTTATTCTTTTTCACAGACCTGTGTATCATTTTTCACTTAATTTGCCTTTCTAAAGTGCCTTCTAGAGGCATTAGAACTCCAGTTCCAAATATTCTCATAGCCATAATGGCCATTGGCTGGGAATTCTATGAATTAAGGTCCCAAAACATCTGATTCCACGTGGAGCTGCTTTCTGCTTATTATTTAATACAAGACCAGCTGATCCCTTTATGTATTATTTTAGAAATCCCAGGGTGATAAAGCTGGCTGGATTTAAAAGGCTTAGTTCCTCAAATTATCAAAGGAAATATTCTGTTAAAGAAATTTGCATGCAAGTAACATTACGTTCTTTTTCAGTTCTTATAATGGCTACAAGGAAAGCTTTTTACGGGGAAATGTTCTAATTGATTGATATTCTAAATTTGCAAGCATTTTTCTCTTATACTCTCCCTTTAAATCAGGGAAATAAATGTTCACCTTCCACCGGTGGAGTGGTGCCAAATTCTGAAGGAGGGGTAGGGAACGGATGTGGGAAAATAGTGCAGAAGTTGACCCCTATGTCACATTAGCTATTTTCCCTAACCTTCTTGGGTTATGGCTTCTGATGTGGAAGTCCTAACTTGTGCTTATTGTAGACTGTGAAAGTCCTAACTTGTGCTTAAAGCAGAACCTGATTGGCTAATTTTACTGGAGATTTACCCAGCTCTTTATATGTAACTCCAAAGAGAGACAAGATTTTCATTCCTTAATGGATTAGGTCACCATTAGCCATAGTTTCTTAGTGGGGTTTCTTTTTTTCTTAGAAGGGATTTACATTTTATTTTCAAATTCAATAGGTCCTGATACCAGGGTCTTCAAGGGATTTTGTTTATAAACTATTTATGCAGCATACATTATATTTCCTTTTAAGCTGGCCAGGCCCACTCTGTCTTAACCAAATCATGCTTACTCCCTACAGCCTGGATTATAATGATTGTTCTTTTCTTTGATAAATATGAACTTCCAAATACTAACGAGCGTATCTTATTCCCCTAAATGAGAACCTGTTTGATGTAGCAGTTAAGGCACCAGGCTACAAACCCAGAGATTGTGGTCCTGAGCCACAATGCTTTAGGCACAAATTCACCTTACTGACCTTGGCCTCTCCTAGCCCTAGGAGGAAGGCTTTAGCAAACCAATTCTGAAAATCTTGCCCCCAAAATATCAAGGAGTGGGCAGGCAATTGCCAGGAGTCAAGACTGATTGGAGAAGCAAAACAAACAAATCTTTAAATCCCTAAATACCCTTTCTGTTATCATTATTTTTTGCTGTTAGGTGTGAATGAATATTTAATGTGAATAGCAACATTTAGAAGCATGAGTGCTTCTTTTATGCCATCTGATTTGAACCACAGTATTCATGTTCTCCTAAGCTGGGGCATCATTTCTCTCAATTCTGCCAAATGCATTGCAAAATAACACAGTTAACATTGAAAGAGGGAGGCTCATCAAGAATGAGGCTGAGAGATTATAAATATATTTTGCAGGTTGGTCCCCAACTGTGTAGTCATTGAGGATACATAAATCCAGGTACATGGCCATCTGTTCGACAGAAAACCCCTGCCAGGTTGCACTTTTGATATTTTGTTTCCCTTGTATTCAAGTTTTTCTCTAGAATGTCTTCAACATAATGACTTTAAAATTGTTGGTTTTAGGAATGGCCATCAGGGTCTATCCTGGCATTAAAATCTCCTTGTATATGATTGAAATATGATTGCTCCTGTGGAGGGAAGCTATGGCAAATCTAGACAGCAAACTAAAAAGCAGAGACATCACCCTGCAAACAAAAGTGAGTATAGTCAAGGCTATGGTTTTCCCAGTTGCAATGTATGGCTGTGAAAGTTGGACCATAAGAAAGGCTGAGCGCCAAAGAATGGAGGCCTTTGAACTATGGTGCTGGAGAAGACTCCTGCAAGTCCCTTGGATTGCAAAATGATCAAACCAGTCATTCCTAGAGGAGATCA